GTATTGGGGCTGGAGTGGGAGGGGAAGGGATGCATGCAGGCAGCAGCAAGACTGTCACCTGAAGGTCCTAAGAGACAGATGTGCAAAAAGGAAAAAAAAACAAAAAACAGAATCTCAGGGTGCCCAGTGACTGGAGCTCACCTTGAGGCAGAAGCAGCAGGCAGGAGTCCATACAGCCTAAATCTGAAATCACATGTCACACTTTGGGGTGGATGGAGGCCACATCACCTCTCAGGACTGTTGATTCCCTTCTTTTTTTTCTTATCTGCATTTTATCCCATTATCAGGATCCCCATCTTCCAAACACGTGGCTTGGCAGTTTCAGCAGCAGTCTCTTTATGGTGCAGCTAGGGGCACGATTTCACACAGCATCTCCCAAAAACACATTCAGAGGACCAAGACAAGCCCAGAAGCAAGGAGATGCTGGTGCCCCCTCAGCCACCCCCAGACCAGCTGTTGCAGGGCAGCTCCAGCAGTGGGGATTAGCCTGCACCAGGCTGCAGTGTTTGCTCCAGAGGTGCTACAGAATAGTATTAATTGAAACTCCACTTCTAAAAACCACCTGAAGCTACAGAACTACCCAGAACTGGTTTCCAGAACAGCAATGTGTTCATGCATTTATCCCTAATGGTCTATGCAACCCAATCCTAATCCACAATTTTGTAGTTTATGGGCACAACATGTTCATTTTATGGGAACAGACCTGCTCTGTGCTGGAAGGCTTCCGGCAAGACTATGGTGTTAATTTAGAAGATGGCATTCTTCCCAAACAGTCATTATTAAACCAGCAACCTGATGTTACCTCCAGCATCAAGGGGCAACGTGATGTTGGAGGCAAGACAGAACAAAGGTTCTGGCTCCAGCAATTGTAAGAGAGCTTTAGGGGCTGTTCTCTTCAGCGCAGGGAGATGCAGCCTGGCCCCCCTCCAAAGCCTGTGGTTTTACTGACCCCCACTTCAGCTGCATTGTGTGGAAATGCACTGCTGCAGAGCTGCCACTTCTGCACCCATGCCCAGCTGAATTGCAGAAGCTATTTTCAGCATCTCTGCCAGATGCAACATCTCCCATGACTTTTATCGTGGAATGGGTGCTTGTTTGTAATCAGCCTGGAAAATCTGTTTCTGAGCTTAATTCCAGAGCTTTGTCTTCGTCGAGCTACAGAAACAACTCTACTCACTGACACAGCTTTCCTGCCCTTTAGCAGCATGAGGAATGATTTGCTGTCCTGGGAAACTGGTCACAGCATAAGCCCTCAGGGTTTTGCAACATCAGTGCTTGATGCCACTGGTTTAAGTGCTGAACACACTGTACAAGCACAAGTGGCCAGCCTGAACTGGGAACATTTCTGCTAAAATCACCCATCATTCAGGGAACCTGAATGTAAGCTAATCAGGAGTTCAGGTGGCAATTTTAACAACTCACAGCAGTGGACAAGAGGTTAAAGTCAATGTTAAAAATGCAAGATTTTTTTCTCAATTCTTTTGTGACTGGTAACATTAAGGACCATCTCTTAACATGTTCCTAACAAAAACAAAACAAAAACAAAAAAAAACTTGCTTGAGAAATGTTTAATTTAAAGGTCCTCACAAAATTTACATCTGAAAAGAGAGCACCACGCTGTGAAGGGCGCTGCTGCCAACCTTTGCCCTGCAGTGAGGCTCGCTGGCCATCACAGCATTGCACCATGGTTGCAGATGGCCTTACTGGCATTCGGGAATGCAATGTTTTACAGGTGTGGTGTAAAAAACTGGGCTAATGCATCTTCAGAGCTCTTTTCCAAGGAATCTCCAACTTCAGTCCTCCTGAACTGCTTGGCGATCAACACATTCAGGCAGAATCTGTCTTGTTCTGCACTTCCGCAAACACATTTCTTATCTTTTGATTTGGCCTGAACAGCACATAAGCAGCTGTTGTCTGGCTCATGTTCCAGCTGTGCTGCATTAACTGGGAGGAGGATTACTGGAATCACCATCACTAACCTGTTGCTAAGTCTTGGCAAATGTTTGGCAGGAATGAGTTAGGGAATAGTATTTCTGCATGAAGCAGGGTGACAATCTTCAAGACATCCTGAGATTTCTTACCTCTGAGATTTTGTCTGAAACAAATTGTTCTGAGATCACGTTAGAAATGCATTGATAAGACTCTACTAGGCAGCTAATGAAGAGACTGCCTATCCCTATTTGATCATGCTACATGACCTCACTACTACATAACTGATGTTTTTAATAAATGAAAAAAAATTCAATGATTGTTAAAGAATCCCTGGTTTTTAAACAGGAAACTTAAATCTTTTTGCTACCTGTTTCCCCAGCTGAGGCAAACATCGGGACAAAACCAGAAGTAAGTCCCAAGTAGTAGGACTCTCAAGAAGTCCCCAGAAGTAGGCCCTCCCATGGGTCCAGCACTCTTCTGGCTTTTTAGCCACCCTCCTCAGTTCGGACAGAATTGCAGTGCTGTGCTCCCAGGTATCTGCAAGGCCAGTAATTTCATCACATGGGGCCACAGGAGCCCCAGTGAGCCACCTTCAGCTCACTGCTGCTGTGCCCTATGGGCTCTGCCATTCACACTAGAACACCTCAGCAAATTCAAGGCTTTTATCCTCATCCTTAGCACCCTCACAGGTCCACATCCCACACATCTGACAGAAGCCTCATTTTTGCATGATCGCAAGCTACAGGTTTACTCAGTATTGCCAGGTTCCTGAACACAGTTTACTGTCTTGAGAATAGGGGAGATGTGAAATCTAAAATTGTTCCTGCAAGGCGTCAGGATGACAGCCAACATCGCTGCTGTAGCAGCACCTAATTTGACCTGACTTTAAGAACAACAATTCAACCACTGCCTTCACATAAATGTAACACCTTTATGTTCTGTGTACGTGGAATGATGTTAGAAAGAATAGCTATTTCCCTAAGATTTGTTTTAAAACACAGTCCATTAACTGACACTGAAGAGGGGAGAATGGATCTCCCATGACCAGACATGAACAACAGTGTAGCAAAGGGGAAGTCCAGATGAGAGGGAGCAGCTCAGGATGCAAAGCCAATATAGCAGCAGAGATGTTGCTTAGCACAACATCTTCCAGCCTGCTCAGACTGCAATAGCTCAGTTTGTGCCACAGAACACACGTGTTCCAAAAGGACAACTTACTGGAAAACTGAAGGATCTTCTCAGAATTGTGTTGCAGAGGTGGAAACAAACAGAACAGGCATCTCCTATTTCCTCTTATCTAAAGGAACACAAACATTTTTCTTCCAGAGCCACAGGTATACTGTGCAAAAATCTGCTAGTCAAGTAAAAATGGTGGTACCTCATTTAAGTTATGTATATGAAAAAACAATTCCACCCTTCTTGACATAACATGTTGTAGTTAGAAGCAATACCTACAGAACTTACTAGGAGCTCCTTATATCTTCTCCTTTAATTCAGAGGCACCAGAGAGCAAGTTCAACATAAGACACTTGAAATCGGAGACCTCACTATGCAAACATGTTTTTCCCCCAGAAATAATAGATTAGAAGAAGATATGAACATCTTATTTATTAAATCAAATAGAAATGCAAAATATGTTTCACATGCCTTACATGGAAAAGAGATGAACTTCCAAGACCTTAAAGCAAGAGTGTGTCAGTTGACAGGCAGGAAATGGGAACATTATAAACAGTCAGAGAGAGGAAGGACTGGGGAAGGAGGCGACCTGGGGAAGATGGGCAGTTCCTCCCCACGCTGAGAAAGTTCTCCTAAAAACAGGAATGGCGGTTATGCTGAATAAGCATCACAAGCCTGAAGTTAAAACACAACTATTTGGAGGAAGTTGCCTAAATGAGTACAACTGGCTAATAACTAGTCATACAGGGATCTAGTTTATTCATACCGTACTCACGTTAGGTGAACATGGGCTTATCTTTGAACAACAGTAGGGACACAAGGAGCATCAGAAACATTCAAAAAAGCTTTTAAAAAAGCAGGATCAGCCCATGGTTGCATTCTGTGTGACGCTGCTATTAAATTAAAGGAAAAAAAAGTTGAAAAATGTAAAAATAGTTCTAAGTGTTTTAATTACTTTGCCATCTTCCAACTCTTCCTCCCTCCTACACACAATTTCTTGGAAACTGAAATGACAGTCAACAGCAAATACAATGCATACACCAATATTATATCCCACAGTTTTTCTAAGAGTTATTAGTCCAGCCATTTTAAAGTGATCTATGTGCAAAAAATTAACACGTGAAAGAGTTTCTTAAAAGCACAACAAAAAAATCACTAGAGCCTTAACAACTCCAAGTTGAAAAAAAAAATCTGAGAATTAGCACAAACATTTCCCAGTGGAGAAGAGATCAGTAACTGCAAGCGTTGTGCCAAATCTCTGCCTTGGTGCTGCAGAACTGTCAACATCACAAGTTTACTAGCAGCCGGCAAGGAGAAAATAGACCATATCCCAAAAGAAGTGGGAAAACCACCGTTCACTAACCAGTCTTCTGGTACACATAAACATATGGCATAGGTATGTATTCGGAGACTGCTACCTACAGCTGGGAACAGTCATCCTAGCATGACTAATAGTAAATGATTAACAATAAAATGTGCAAGAATCAGAAGAGTAGTATTTAAATTATTTCTGACTGCTCAATTCCCCTAGGCCTAAACTATCCCCTCGTTAATAGTGGTGTAAGTCAGGGCAGCTCTGGTGAAGCTGCAGTAAAAATTGCTGTGCATGAGGATTTGTGTGCGAGAAGAACAGTCCCTTGAACGTCAGACTAGTTCAGTCCTGACCGCACTACAATAGGGAATTGTGTTTAAACCATGAGTAATCATGTAATCGTCTCCCAGCATAGTACTTCTTTTCTGCACACATGGAATGTAAATGGCCAGGATTTACAACTGATGATGATTTTGCAGATTTAATGGATTGTATTTCTTTAATGGTTCTGGCAATGTAATCTCAGTTTTGTTTTTTTTTTTAAAAAAAAGGAAAAATAACAACAAAAAAATAATAACAAAAAACAACATCGCCAAAATCAACCAAACAAAAAAATCCCACACCGCTGTCTGCTTTTTTTCTTTATTTGATGACTCATCTGGCACACATTTAGGGATCTCTAACAGTGCATAAATGTTCAAAAATATCAAATTACTAGGGCTGGGATAAGGATATCCTACAGTTAAAGTCTATGTGTGGAAGATATGCTACAATAGGTAATAAAGCTAAATCATGTTTGGGTAATTCTAAGTCTCTGTCATTAGTCTGGAAAATAGAGCAGACAACCCTGTTCCTAGGCAAGGGCTGTGAAACAAAATAATCACTGACTCTTGTAAAACGTCTCGAGTTTCCCAGATTGAAACTCTGAAGAGAAGCAAAACACCAGCAATAAAGTCACCTGCTGTTTAATGACTCTCAGAAGTTACCGTGCAGAACAGTTCAAACATCAAAACTATCCCCAACTTGGAAGGCCAGTAGCACTACTCTCCCTTTTATCACTCCCTGCTACTCAGGACAAAGGAGCCTTACGGAAGCTGGGGTAGAGGAGCTGTGGAACAGGACAGGTCCTCGCAGCTCTGAAGGGGTCACACTAAGTCATAGACAAATCTCATCCAAAACCATGAGGCCTTCAGAATGAAGAATGAGGGCAAACACATTTGGCCCCATGCAAACCACATACCTTAGTGCAGGAAAATGGTGGCTTCATTTGCAGAGAATAGCTAAACATTAGCAACACACCAGCGTGTGTTTCAAGTGCTGTTAGAACCATCCCATATACAACACTTATCTCTGTTTTTCCTCCCACAATGCACTAAAGTAAATCCAGACCTTAAAGAATAACTTGCATAGTAAGAAAAGGTCATCAATTTAATCATTTACTTTAAGCAGGCAAGCAAATTTGTAAACATTCAAAAGCGGCAGCATCCAAGTTACAAACAATTTAAGGAAAAAAGAATTGAGATTATTAAGGTTCTTTTTATCCTCTCAAAAATTTTGGAAATAATCTTTTTAAAACACTGCAAACATTGAACACTCGGTTACATCTCTTACAATCCTGCTAGTAGTCTTGCCTTCCAAGGAAATCTGCTTTCTAAAAACGCATGGTCTTACAATAGCCACACTTCTTAGCATTTACTGTTTGGAAGTTAGCTACTTGAGCATTTCACCTCAGCTTAAATCCCATTAGCAAAGGGAATGCTTGTGTCTTGGTTCAATACCTCTTTAACTTCCAAGGGCAAAGTGTCAAAGAGGTGATCTTCCACGACAAGCCCACTTTTCCTGAGAAGCTGACACTGCCCCAGCGTGGCTGGCAGACGGTCTAAGCAGTTTCCCTTCAGTTCCAGATGAGTCAGCTGCAACAGTTGACCAACTTTATCTGGGATTGAGGTAATACAGTTTTGTCCCAGACTCAAAGTCCTCAATTTAACGCATTTAAACAACTGTTTTGGCAAAAGGTCGACTTTGTTTCCTGTGATGTGAAAATGCTGCAGATTTTGAAGCAAACTTATTTCCACTGGAATCACTGCAATTGAGTTGTAGCTTACATCTAAACATCTAAGTTTCTGTAAACTGAACACTGCGGCTGGTAAGGATTCGAGTTTGTTATTGGAGAGGTAAAGAGACTCTAAGTTCTTTACGTGGGTAATGGAGGAGGGAATGTTGACTATTTTATTGTGCCACAGCTTTAAACAAGTCAATCTTTTTAAGTGCTGGAAACTGATGATTTCTTCAATTGTGCGTATGCTATTTGATTTTAAATCCAGTTCCTGTAAGTTAGAGAGGCTGAAGATGGCATGAGGAATTCTCTCCAGTTCACAGTTCTGCAGCTCCAACTCCGCAACATTCATCATCTTCTTAAGGCTATTCAGTACCACAAGCTTAGTGCCGTCATTATGAATGACCAGTTTTGTCAGATGTGGTGCCACATCTGTGATATTGGGGGGGATTTTGGTCAAATTGCTCTTCACATGGAGAATTTTAAGGTGTCTCAACTCTCTGAGAGACTCAAGCCCTATCATTTTATTATTTTCAGAGTTCAAGTTGCCTATCAAGTACAATTCTCGGAGGTTTTTGAGCAAATACACCCACGCAGGAATTTCTGCGACATCTGTGAATTTTACATAAAGGCATCTCAAATGGTCCCGGAGGAAGCTGAAGGCAGTCTGCTCGACCTTTGCAGGGCAGTGGCACAGATGAAGCTCCTGAAGATTTGTCATCTGGGAGATTTTTGCTGGGATTTTCGCTTCAGGAATCAGCTCCAGTTTTAACACATCCAGATCCGTCAGATCAAAGACTGCATCAGGGACCCCCGATAGCATAAAAAGGTGCAATTCTTGCTTATCCTGGGCATTGCGGGAAACGTGTTGCCGCAGCTTTTCAAAAGTCCATTCATGGTTTAAACTAATTTCACGTAGTTTGTTCTCACTTACCTCTGACAAGAAGACACCAAACCTTTTAGAATAAAGCTGGTCGTACTGATCTACCATATGCAAAAGAAACGCAAAGTCATTTTTGACATCGGGAATATCACTGAAACTACTCTCTTCTCTGACCTTTTCAAAGGAATATTCTTTTAAGGGTATTCGGAACAGCCAGAAGAGTGTGTAAAGACAGATAAAACCATAGACACAAATGAGAGAAATATAGCTGATAAGCAGCTTCTTCAACATGTAAGCCATGTTGTGCGTACATTCAAATTGCGTGTAGCCAATCAGGTGTTCCACTTTTGGATTGCAGATGTGTTCAAAACTAATGGTGTTGACAAAGTTTGCAGTATAGCAGAGAATAAATATGAACTTAAAAGTCTTGATGATAGTCTGGCCAACGTAGAGTTTGTAAATCAGATCGCTGTCCTCCACGTGAGCCCGGAACTTACGGACTTTCTCAAACAGTGCTTTGGCTTGTTCTCCATCTTTTTTATCTAAAATAGTGACACTGGGAACTTCAATCATTGGCTTGTCAGCTGAAAATTTGAAGCCAGACTTTGTTATCATGGGGGTGCTGGCACTTGGGCTTCCTTCATCACTGCTAGTGGAAACGTACTTGGGCAGGGACTGGGCACCAGTTAACCTCTGTTTGTTCTCCTCAGAGTCCTCACATGCTGTTTCAGACAGTGCTTTTGTAGTCCAGGGGGACTCAAAGCACTTCCCTAATATGGACACAAAATGCTCAATTTTTGAGCAGGTCTTGGGATACTTGAACCAAAAATTGCTACTGACTATTAAAATAATGGTATGGATGAGAACAAGATAGGGAAAATACTTTGAATACCAAGGAAGAGCCAAATGATAGCACATCTGGTTAATAAATACATATTGCTGAAAATCCAAATTTGTTTTGCGGCCTGAAGAATCCTTCTGCTCCTTCTTCACCTCCTGACTTGATTCAGTGGGTTGATACTGAGGAGAGGTAGCTCTGCTCAGAGGTACATCAGGTGTTACAGTAGGGGCACTTCCAAAAGAAACCGTTCTCATTGATGCTTCTTCTCCTTGACCAGTGGTTGTTTCAACAGTGGTAAAGTCAGCCTTCCCTGATGTGCTGGGTTGTGCTTTTGAGTTTATAGTAGACTGCAAAACTGGCAAGCAGACCACCTGGTCTTTGGTCAATTGCATGGTTCCAGCAAAAATGGCAACCATTAACATCACAACCGCTAGATAATCCATAAATACATCCCACCATGGTTTCAAGATACGATAGGTTGGCTGGATGTCATTGAGCGATGCAACTTCTGCAAGGGTAAACATTCCTACAAGAAAACAAAAATGAAACCAGTGAGCAGGTTATTTTACCATATGAAAAACAATGACACCATGGACATACAAGTCTTCAAAAAATGTAAGTTTTCATTATATTTTGTTGGATATCACATGCTGTCTATCGTTTCACTCAATAGGGTTCTCTCAAGGGATATATACAGAAATAACTCATTATTTTAGCATCAAAACAGAAAGATTATCACTTCAGGCCAGATGACATTTATGTAGCTTTCCCTCTTCACAGTACAAGCACCAAGGCCTGGTATATGCAACTGAAATATCTAAGAGATCTGTAGCTGATATGTATTAGCAAGAAACAGAAAAAACTGACTACGCTGCATAAAATCTGATTTTGTAAAAATGACCGCTTGGGTCTTTGAAAATGTGAAATTCACCATTAACTGTTTTTGTAGTACCTTGTATTTAAAGTAGATAGCACATGCTAGATGCTTTGCAAATTGCTCACGACTCGCGCAGCATCTTGTACCATTATAAGCAAGGCCTGTCATTTCTTTCTGTTTAACATAGCAACAGTTTATCTCCCACTTCTTGCTATTCAGCATCCACACTGACTACAGGATGGATTAGTCCCTCACCTTAAGTATCACCCCACAAAGAATGTCTTGCCATTACTATGTGAAAACCCAGTACAAGTTTATTTTAGGATGTTTTTAATGATGTTTTATACTGAGAAAGCTACGATGTATTTACTGGATCAAACGGTAATGTATACAAATATTGTTTCTCCAATTAATGAATCATAGAACGGCTTGGATTGGAAGGAAACTTAAAGATCATCTAATTCCAGCCCCCGCCATAAGCAGGACTGCCACCTACCAGCTCAGGCTGCCCAGGGCCCCATCCAGCCTGGTCTTGAGCACCTCCAGGGATGGGGCATCCACAGCTTCTCAGGGCAGCTGTGCCAGTGCCTCACTATTCTCCGAGTAAAAAAATTCCCTCTTAAGTCTAATGTAAATTGCTTCTCTTCTACTTAGGGGAAAAACAATGTCCTTAATTTTATGGGGAGAATATATTTTTTATATCATTATCACAGTGTGGTGATGGTGAGCTGCTTAGCCTATTTAGCACAGGCTGTAAGTTTCCCCTTCGATGTGAACATTTGTACTGTGAGGCAGAAGTGGCAAGCCACTTGGGGGAGAATCCAAATCTCGTTGCAGCTTGAAATAGCTTGCTTTGCTTTTTGTTTTGACAAAGTCTAGGGGATTCAACTTATCAGCTTTAAAAGAAAAGAAAAAAAGCATCCTGTGCAAGCAGGATGTGGTAAAACCATCATTTTAATTGCTGAACCCATAATCCAAATTTTCCACTTCTAAAGTAAAATAGGCAGCTTGTACACAACACATGGAATGAGGAAGGAGATAGGAATATACATTATCACCCTGAGCCTGTGTCCCTTTGTTTGAGAGAACAACTGAGCAGAACAAAGATCACAGCAGACTGCATAAAGATGCATCAGATTGATTACTTATAACTCACAGAACACTAATTTGTACAGACCAGCACAACAGAAACCCTAAACAAAAGCATCACTGGTCATGAATATGCAAGACAATGGTTTCATTATTTCTAGCACACATTTCTCATCGCTACAGACCCCGGAAAGGAGCTCAAAATGCAGGCATCACCTCAACCATAGGGTAAGATCCAGCCCCCTGCTCTCCTGCAAACTTTTACCAGTTTTGCACCTGCACAACATGGGGCTTGGTGAAGGTAGCCAGAGAAGAGAGGGCTACACCTCACTGCAGTACACGCTCAGTGCGTGGTTGCAAGTCACATCCCAGTTGCTCAGAAAATGGGCAGAAGGAACTTCCAGATCTCCCTTCTTGTTTTTCACTAGGAAAATAAATATCCAACACCCTTCCCTCACCAACAAAAGTTGATGGAGTCTTGTAATGCTCCCTGCAGCACATCTTTCCTCACTCCCTTTGCCCAGGGCCTGCAGCTGCATAGGGACACAGAGCAGCAACAGCCCGCAGCTATCAGAGCCTCACTCTCTCTGCATAACATTAGCTACAAACTCCTGTTTGCCTTCACATCTCCCAGCGCTTACCTAGATGGAGTCACAGCAGGACTGATTGGCCCAGAACTTCTACCAGGAACATTCAGCATTTAGGTAACAACAGAGTGTGGAAGAACAGCATGAGCCACTTGTGTTAATGTGAACAGACATTTTGAAAGGCCCTCCTTGCTCCAAAGACACAACAGCTGCCTCCCCAGAACAGGTGAACACAAACAGCCACTTCTTCTTGCATGGATGCTTTTATCAGAAGAGATGCTCTGAGATCTCATGCTGCTTTCCATGTGGGCTCGTTCACTTCACCATCCACACAAAATTCCCCTCCACTCAGCTGCTAATGCATCAACACAAGAACGCAGTACCAACACAGAGAGGACTGGTCATGCTTGCTGACTACAGGAACTCCTCTCACCAAATGAAATTGATTTTTTTTGCTTTTGCCATGAGACCATCTGGCTTAAAGCACTACAACTCAACCACTGCACCCTTGTTTGCTCCAAGCAGCCAAAGCAATGAAGAAGAAACAAGAAAGTACAAAGTGGTTTCATCTAGAATTAGGAAGAACTGGAAGAATAATTGAAAAAAGCTAAAGCTAAAAATCACCTCTGTCAGACCTCTGTTATACAAAAAACTATTTCAAAAAAAGGTTGTAGCTTGTGCCATCCTCTTCGTGAGGCTGTAGTCAGCATGATGTAAAAGGAGCTTTACACTCAGAAGCACCATATCCATTGCTCTGAGCATATATTCTCTTTCAAGTTACTGGTGTCAGAGTAGTTCTTCTGTGGGTAGAGATTTTCAGTTATAGAAGACATTAGAAGTATCTTATCTGGTATTACTGCCTAAAGCCGTGTACATCACAGAAAAGACACAGAGTATTCTGTAGTTATCAAAATCAACTCTGGGAACTGAAAACTGGTCTCCCTCCACACATCTAAAATAGTCACGTGATCTGAGCCTTTAAAAACAGAATGCAAACTGTAAGCCTACACACAGTCCAAAGGCACATGCTGACTGACAAGCTGTAAATAACTTTGTTATTTTCTCCCTTAAAACCATCATTATATTTATCAATCCTTGATTTTACTACCATACTAACCACAAAAGTTAATTTTTGTTTTACACTTGCAGATGCCCAGGAAAAGTCAAAATATTAAGAGGTACTCAGAACAACAGATCCAATATAGTACCTTGTTTTGGGCTTTCCTTATGCCAAAACTGAATTTAGACTATTTTAAGTCTTTATTACTTGTTCTTCAAGCTTACTGACTGGAGTATTCCTTGGATTTGATATGAAGCCTTTTCATTGCTAATTTTCACCTCCTTTCATGGGTGCCACATTAGGGCTGGGATTTCACAACCAGCTATGGGGATGGCATGGCTAAGTAAGAGGCAAACTGTTGGAAATCTGAGCCTGTGGTTGACTGCATGAGCCGTGACTCATAGTCCTGTGTCTTCTCCCCTCAAGGCCACTGTGGGCTCCATTCACAACATCAGTGCAAAAACTGTAAGCAGGCAACTCAGTAAGTATTATGCAGATGAAATGTCTGATTTTTCACAGTAAAAACACGTCCTCATTACTCACAAGGCACCAAACAGATCTTGAGCATCGGCAGAAGACACAGAGATCTAGATCCAAACTGTGGTTCCTGGAGAGAAGAAGCTTTCAATTTCCAATATGGAATGTAGAGACATAGTCTCCTTTTAAAACAGCATGGTAGTTCAGTATTAGTAAGAACAAATTTTACAGTACAATATGCAAGGCTGCACATCTAACAAAATAAGGAAGACTTCTAACTTAAGCAAAATAATCTTTTCTCCAAAACCCATTGTCTCCAGTTCTGTAAGCTGGATGACTCTCTTGGATAACATTAGCCTCCTCTAGCTCCAAATCCAGTATCTCCATGCAGCCACTGAGGTGTTTCTCTCTAGAAAATATTTCTTTGATATAAGGTAATATAACTGTTCTAAGTGCAGCTGCTTCTTCCTACCTCCTAAGGAGGAAAAATGTAAATTCTCAAAGCAGAGAAATGCTATCTCCCTTTCCACTGCTAAAATAATATTAAACTCTAAAACTAAAACGATCTTGTTTAGTTTGGAATTATATAAATGTATCACAGAAAGATGCAAAACTGCAATGAGAACTGACAATCACAATACAATTGCTCTAACTTAGATACTAAGTTAAATCAGCAAGGGTGACAAAGTTCGTAAGTCAGACTTTCATTATCATAAGGCAAAGCTATAATAAAGCTCAGAATGTGATTAACCTGTAGATTTTTTCTAACTTATTTCAGACTATAAAATCTGAAATACAAAGTGAATGTATTGGGGTTATTTCCTAAGAAATATTTCGGCTTAAATGCAGAAGTTAGAGGAAAAGGAAGCAGCAGATTGGTATGTCACTTTAATGTTTATTTACATCCTACTTCTTCCTGTACTTACTGATAAAACTTCATCTGTCTGACCCTGTAATTCACTGGCCCTCCTGTTTTAAGAGCATATTTAAAGTTAAAGCAAATCCAAAGTTAAAACAAACAAATAAAAACAGAATCACAACACATAAACCTCTTGTTTCACTCTCAGATTCCCAAGACTCTGAACAAGAGCACTTTGTCTCAAGAAACAAGAAGATTCTTGAATGAGCTTTGTCACAACAACTGGTCAAGAATTCCTTAAGAATTAAAAAAAAAAAAAAAAAACCAACAAAAAAAACCACTTCTAGTTGTAAAGAAAAAATAGTGCCCTGTCCAAAATCACTTGCTTCCTTCCCACAGGAAATTTTGGAGAAGAAAAGTTTTCCCATAACTTTGCTTTCTTGCTTTTGATCAAGTCACCATAAAGCTCCACTTATTTCCTCTGTATATTTTACTCTCTTCCTACCAACTATTCCTACTTCCTTTGCTTCTCTACTTCTGCAGTATCCTATGAAGACAGCCCGTCGGACCTGGATGT